CAGCATGTAACCTATATAGTAATATGAGGCTAATAATTTTTTAGGATTTGTGATTCGCAATACTCAACACTTTAGAAACAGATTTACAAGAAAAAATTTATTTTGCTCCATAATTCGTAGTCCTTTAGAGTTTGCAAGTCCTGTCTAGTCACCTTATCAAACATATCGTTGTACGAAACTTGAAAGAGTCCAAACTAAATGTTTATGGTATGCTGCTTATAAATTAAAAATTCCTTCCGCGGATATTTCCTATGTTCACTTATACTTAACCCTTAACTTAGAAGGGAGCAAACTGATTCTCTTCTCCTCTATAGCCTTATCGATAGCAAAATTAATAGTACTCAATTGTTAAGCCTAATCATTTTCAATGACAACTCTCACAACACTCGAAATTCCCTTCCTTTTTCAGACCAAACTCAAAAATATAATTACTTCACTCTGGCATTTCTAGAATTTTATCTGTTGGTAATAAGCATACTACCATTGATATGTTCAACACAAACAAACTTGCACAAAGAAATATTTTCACAGACTATACAATTGTAAATATTTTTTGTATATCTCTTCTTATAAAGCATAAGTTTTTTAATATGTTTATATATGTTAAATGTATATATAATTTATATGAACAGTATTTGTTTTGGTATATTTATAACTTTAGATTTGTTACTATTATTGTATCTTTCATCATATCTTTGTAAATGTGCTTCTTGCCCGTCTATATTAATAAATAAATAATCATTGAAGATTTTTTTTTTTTTTTTTTTTTTTGAGTGGTGTCTTTTCTTGTAGGTGTGCGATATGTGGTCTGTTACTATCACAAAGAAATTATTACCCTTACAGTCATTCATTGACCAAAATTATCGTTAGAGCAAACAAACTAACTTAAATTAGTGAAAGCCAAATATGTAAGAAAAGTGTCACATCTCAAAAATGAGTAGTTTTTTAGGGGTTGTACGGCTGGATTTTTAAAATTTTGGGTTTTTGCTTGTCTTGGAGAAACGAAAGACAAAATTGATGAATCGCGAGTTTTTATAGCCGACAACCGTAATTGCCTGTACTTAATACATAAGTAAAAAAAAAGTAAACTTCCATTTGTCTCTCATATAAAATTTTCTTTTGTTAAGTTGTGTTAATTTTCTTGTGGGTGTGCGATATGTTGTCTGTTACTATCAAAAATAAATTACTCCCTTACAGTCATTCATTGACCAACATTATCATTAGAGCAAACAAACTAACTTAAATTACTGAGAGCCAACTATGTAAGAAAAGTGTCACATCTCAAAAATAGGTAGTTTTTTAGGGGAGTACAGCTAGATATTTAAAATTTTGTTTTTTCGCTTGTCTTGAAGAAACGAAAGACAAAATTGATGGATCATGAGTTTTTATTGCCAAAACCTTCAAAAGTGTTTATTTACTGTCCATATACATGGATATACATAATTACAAGTTAGAAACAAGAGTACCAATAATGTGTGGTGTTTGGTGACCGTTAGTTGTTTCGATGTTCTCATCTTTATTGAGCCCTGATGATGATCTCAATAAAGATCGAAACGTTGGCACGATAAAGAAAATGTTTTTCTAAAATCTACGTCACACCAGACCGCATCTCACAATCTCCGAATAACCAGTACCAATAATAATACTTTACCTCTCGACTTAAGTAAGGAAATAAGTCTTACAACATAAATGTTGGGTACAATGGACTATAAAAACCCAACTCTGAGAACCGTACTTAATACATAAATAAAAAAAGTCAACTTTAATTTGTCCCTCCTGTAATTTTTTTTTTTTTTTTTTGAGTTGTGACTTGTTTTACAACTTAAGATTTGTTATTATTGTTGTGTCTTTGTAAATGGGCTAGTTGCCCGTCTGTGTTAATAAATAAATAATCATTGATCATTGAAGGTTTTTCATGAAATATATAATGTCTGACCGCAAAGCAGTCGCCATTAGGCGGCTCCGGCCCAAGGTCGAATCTGTGACTTCCATCAGATTCCGAGGGACCGACTCCCCCAATGATTCTTATTGTGAAATAAAATAAAAACTGTAAATAAAAAATTTTAAAAAAGATAATACTAAATCGGTACTCACAGGAAAAGAACTGGAAAAATTTGTTTTTTACCCTGAAGATGACACAAGGTGTTAACACTACCACAGATGAACACAGACTGCAATTAAAACCTAATTTAGGAGTTAAGCAGCAGACCATCCTGTCCGAGCTCGTTTGTGATTCGCTGAAGGGATTTGAGTCAGGTGATTTCCCCTTATCCCTTCTCTCTTCTCGGGCCCGAGAGTCCAGACAGTGCGATTTTAACTTTCCATGCATTATTATCGGGCAATAATATCCGTTTGATAAAAAAGTAATAAATTTATTTCCATTGGAGATCGTGATGGCGAATTTTACTTATTTTTCTTTTCGTCTTTGCCGTACTCGAGGTAAAGGGTTTCCGGTTTGTCCCAGCCGTCTTTTTCCGCGCCTTCTTCCACCCTACACCCCTCCGAGCAACAAGAAGCAACGGCTCAAGGTTAGTCTCTATTTTCATTTGATTATTTATTTAATTACTATACTTTTAATTACAAATACAGTCCAATTATTTCAGTGAACACACCCTCTTTTCAACCATCGCAAAAAGAAATTTTCTTGTTTTATTGTTTGCTTTTTTTTATTATTAATATTCTTTCCAGTTTGCGAGGTTAGGTTCCTTCTTGTATTTAGTAGCAATCAGCACACCTAACACGCATTAACACAAAAACAATATTTTCAAAAATTTGTTTAATTATTTTTATCTTTACATATAAAACTTTAATTTTTCTGATGGCAGTTAGTTAATGATATTTAAGATCGTGAGATGCGGTCTGATCAGATGTAGGTTAGAAAAAAAAATTTTTATCCTGCCAAAGTTTCGTCATTATGGAGGTCTTTTTTAAGGCCTGGGATTTATAAGCATAGTTTAAATTATGAATAAATGAATGAAGAACTGTTATATTTACAATTAAACCAAAATACAATTGAGAGAAGAGAAACATTACAGTAAATACAAAATAGATCGAAATATCCGTCTGTTGTAGGTTGCCATTTTAAAATAAATAACTACAAAAATTCTATTTGCATTACAAAAAAGAGAAAAAATAAAAAATTGTATNATATTCAATAATAGAATCAAAAATTAAATTCTCCTATCCCAAGCCTGCCTCACAAACCCAATCAAAGGCCTAGATCTTTAAGTTTGAACCCTCCCAACCAAAAACCCAGAACTTCACCCTTTGACAGAGTGAAGCAAGCGAATTTCAATCTGAGATCGAACACTCTGCTAAGAAATGAAAAACAGATTCGAGAGTATGTTTAAATTATACATATACAGTATAACTCTGTTATAACGTTCTTCTGAGGTTCAAGGCAACACAGCGCTATAACCGGGAAAGCACAATTACCAGGAAATCATAAAAACACAGTTTCAAATGTACAAAATTTGTTTCAAAACAAAATGTATAAAAATGTGTATGTGGGTATGTACATAAACATAAAATTAAACACAAAATGTATTTATTCAATTACATATTAGACATGTCTGAGATAGGAATGTAAGCAAAGGGATAACAGTGGCAGCCACAAGGCTTCTGTGTCTCGACCTCAGTAGAGCTACTGTGTTCCCCTGTTTTTTATAACTCACTGACCAGCTTAAGTTGTTAATCAACAATACATAGCCTTGCCAGCGGCTCCTTAGTGTAGGATCTTGCTTCTGGGTTTTCCTGTCCTAGTTGCAAGAGCATGCACCTACATAGATTTTCACAGAAATATAAAATGTGTTCTGCAGTCTCCTCCTCTCCTGGCAATATCTACACAGTGTTTCTTTTGTCTGTACTCCTATCAGGTACATGTGCTTTCTTAAGTGGAAGTGCCCTGTCAGGAGTTCAGCCAGAATTCTGGTTCACTTGTGGTCACCTTCCAGTAATTCCTTTGTAAGTTTTGCGGATGTTTCAAAATTTCAAAGGTTTTGTCATTTATGCCGGTGTAACAGAAAAAAAGGTAGGAAACGTTTGATTGCATCCAAAACGTTGGTTGTTTTCAGTGCAGTTGTTATGCATATCATCATTCTCTTCTTCATCATCTTTCAATGCATTGAGATGATTTTCAATTATGGTCTATTTATTTATTTTGCCAATAGAAAATAAAAACCAAAATAAATAAAAAATACTTTGAGTTAAACAATTTAGAAACTATGAAACAATTGATTCAAGTCAGGTGTTCAGTTTTTTGAGATTGAGGCTTTTAGTTTTTTCTTTCTTGTGGTTGACGATGGCATATAAAATGGTATGATGGCCTGTTTGCTCTTTTGAACTTAAAAAGATATGCTTTAAAAATTTGGTGGGGCATTAGCATTTGCATTATTAGAAGCGACCAATTAGCTTTAGCCCTCTCTTCAATTATAAGGCAAATTTTAAAACTTTTTTCTGGCCAGTCCAGTTCATGATCCTTGACCTCTGATAGTTCAGTTTCCTGTCTTTTATTTGCCGAAGAGCAACCCTGCTTTGAAAGACAATGTATATGGATTGAGTTTAAGGAATATTTTTTGGTGTTAAAATTCATTTTCTCTTCTTTCTTTTTTCTTTCTTAAATAAACTTCTGTTATCTTCGGTTGGACCTTATGTATCGCTGACAGCATCGCTTTTTTAAATAAAAAGTATTAAGGATAGTTTAAACAATTTTTTAACAGTATGTTGGGTTTTTTTCCACATCTGTAGTCTGTCTTTTTTTAAAACTTTATTTACCTTTCTTCAGTATCAATTTCAGGGGCGTCCACCTTCCCTCTTCAGCCTTCCCTTAGTTTAACTGCTGAAATACATTAACATGGGGTTCAGCAAAAAAATCCCTTAAATTCCTGCGCGTAACAAAATGCAATGTGATAGCTTTTTTAAACATTTTAATACATTTTTCTGAAACCCTGTTCAAAAAAATTTTTAATTTATGGTTTCTAAATGAAATAAGGCACAATATATCTGTTTAATCTCTTTACTAATAGCTACAAATATGTAATATTAAAGAATAAATTGAAGACAATTATATTAAATTTTTATATTCACTAAGGAATGTTGAAATTGCCATTCGATCGGAGTGATTCAGTCTGACCTGCTATCTTAAATCTAATCTTTGGGTTTCAACTTTTTCTTTTTTACACAAGAATAATTAATTTAAATAAATAATTTGATTATAGTTAACAACACAATTTTTTAAATATTAAACTAGTGTAAATAACAATTTGTGTTTCTAGTTAACATTAAAAACAATTGAGGCAAAACTAAAACAATGTGGTAATCACAAGAAAGTTACATTGGCTAATTCCAATAAATAGATAACACAACGGGCAAAATTATTTACAATATTTTTTTACATTGTGCAAAAGACCCTAATAACCCTTTACAATTGAACGTACCTTGCTCAAATATCACTCTCTCCCAAATTTGGAGACCTCCACATGTAGAAAACAGTACAAAAACAATCTTTCAATGCACTATTCTTAAAGCACATAAGTTCTGTTGAAAAACCACATCAGTCTCATAGAAGTGGACATTATTTTGATTAATATTTTGAAAGGAATGATATAAAGAATTATAATTATTATTTACATTGACATTTTTTTAAGATTATTGTTTGAGATTGTCAAATCTACACTTGCTATAAAGCTTATCAGAAATGTACAAATGTTCAATATTTTTTTGGAATTACTCACATGAGCATTTGATTAGAAAAAGCTTGATTTTTTATAAGTCTTGTGCTATATTATATCCTCCTTACATAGTACTGTCTTAACAAGATACAGCATTGAATGCTTCAAATGTAATAACATTTTAAAAATATGAATAAAATAGTACAAAAAGATTATATATTAGATATCAATGCATATTTAATTATATTTTCATGCATATCAATAATTGTACTAAGTTTAAGTTTAATTTAAAAGAATAAAACTGAAATATTCATTTATACAGATATACATATAATATGTAATATATGCAATTAAATTCAAATTACAATAGAATTTCAAAGAAAAAGTGAATGGTATACTAAAAAAATGAAATTTCAGTGCAAAATACCATTAATTCAATTATCGAGATATACTATTAGGGTATGTTTACAGTCTTATTGATTAGATGGGGTGTTACTAAATATGATAATTTGATTTTAAAATTTCAAATTATTAGAAAAGAAAAAAATAATGGCACCATTTTATTACAAAGGCTCATTAAAATTTTATTCTAGCAGATATTTTCAGTCTAGAAATCTATGAGTCAGGTTTGATTACATTGTGTCAGGGTTTGGTAAGCTTATGCAGGGGTGTTGGAAGTGTTCCTTAGGGTCTCAGAACATTCGCTCCAAAATGTCCAACGATGTTGCCTCTCTTTTTGTAAAATGCCACTATAAATAGACTCCCACCACGACCTTTGGCTCGTCCGACTCCAAGCTCCTTGGTCTCCCGCCACACCATCTGAGTGAAATGACCTAAAAACATATTAATTCACAATTATTAAATGGTAATAGAAACTTATCCATTCAGATAAGTCCATCCTCCTTGACAAATAAATTATTTAATTAAAGAAACATGTAGTCAAAATAGAAAGAAAAGAGCCCAATTGAATATTGTTTAGAAAATATTTGTAGTTTTACTTGTAGTGTAGCCTCGTGCAGTTTGTGCAGCTGTTGATTTCGGGGTTTTCCTTATTTGCACAAGAAATTGTAAATCTGAAAATTAAAATTCAGTTACAAAAAATTTGGACAATCTATCTTTCCAGTTTTTAGGGGAAACCAGGAAAATAAACAAATCAACAGCTGCAGAATGTGAACATCTAAACAAATTGAGATGTATTAAATTTCTACCAATTAATGATTCAACATAGATCTTTAATTATATTGAAAGATAGAACAAACAGAAGACAATTAACAATTAAATTGTTGAAGTTTAACCTAAAAAAAAAGAAAAAAACTTTTTTCGATATCAACAAGTTATTATTAATTATTTACAATAATAACATACTAAAACTAAAAATAATTTCCACTTGAAGTCTGAAATGGTTACATTAATGCAATAACTCTAAAACTATGTTATGATGGTTAAATATACAATTAAAATGTTTCTTCATTGAAAGGATCTGCTGTGAAACTTTTACTCCTCCAAATGATTGAACTTATTTCTCATATAAATATTTGACATAAGTAACTCGGCAGCTATGACATTCAGTATTTTACCTGCATTGAGCGCCTTTGGCTCTACACCATACTTGAAGTGTTTAACCTCATTGTACCAGCTTGCACAAGCATCTTTTGCAGCACATTGCCTAGAAGCTGAAGTCCAAAAGAGGTTTTCGCCATATTCTGAGTCATTCTTTGAATCAAGCTTAGATGTTTTGGCCAATGTTTCTGCCCAATCCTGAGCCTTTTCACACATCTATAAAAAATGGTAATGTTGATGCATGAGTGATTGTCGAGTAATGAAAAATTGGTAAGGAAATACTTGTTCATTCAGCTTGAGTGGAGGGCTTCCATGCCTGGCACGGTACTCGTTGTGTAGCTTCAACATCTCATCATTGAACTCTTTTGCTGTCTGACACAAACCAGTTGTTTGTTCTGCTTTTTCTGGAAATCCTCTGCCAAAAAAATAAATAAAAAAATAAAATAAAACATTACAAATATTAGCGGTTTTAAATTAGCTGTATACCCAATTGGGGGAACATTTTCAGCAAAAGAGCCAATGAAGTTTCCTGGAGGGTCATAATTGCATACAACATATACTTGTTTTCCATCCTGGCTCTTTGCTACTCCAACTCCAAGTTTTGCGCTCTCTAGCCAGACCACTTGAGTAAAGTGCCCTTGATTTAAAAAATAACATTAAAAGTATGCACTTTTTATTTTATTTTTTATGGGAAAATCGGCTTTTTGGTACACATACCAGTTTTCAATGAGACTGGTTCCTTGTGAAATTGATGATCACTTATCTCAGCATACCAGTTTTCGACAGGATCAATTCCGTGAATCTCTTGAGTTGAAGATGACCAACTAAGAAATAGATTTTCTCCATAGGAATTGTTAGGCCTGAAATAATTAGAGAGATTTAATTTATTTCTGAAACCAGAAAATTATCGTTTTCAAACATATATGTACTAATTCATTACAGTTTACAAGTTTTTAAATTTCATAATCAATACTTTATAATTTAATATGTCGATTGAATGTATCTTGTTTTATCACTCATTGATAACTGATTCATATAAGCTCAACTCTGCACACATACACAAATGTACAGAATCAAACTTATGACTTCTCATAACAAGGCCGCAAGAATCACTTATCTTGGTTTTGGCAGTCTGGGGTCAGGCTTCTGTTGAGGTTCGGCTCTAGGGGCTGTCAACAGCAATGTCATTTCAGCCCCTAATGCATTCAGTTTTTAAAAACAGCCACACACTCTCATTCATTCTTAAATACATTTTTTCCTATTTATGTACGGTTCACTTCAATTAGTACTCGATATTCCTCCATCACCCACCCTTCACACATACTTTCCACCATTGGTCCTCTCTTTCACTTTAATAAATATATTCTCTTCCAATGTAATAGTCTAGTCCTCATGTTTGACACTCCCGATGAGATTTGGGCTGCATTATACTGATTAAAGGTCCACCCTTTATGCTGCAGAAGATTTGCGAACGTGAGAGAGAAAATCATTCGTGTAGCAACCCTCCAACCTGCATTAACTGAGTCGGAGCACACACTGGACAATTTAATGTTTGTCCTACCCTCCTGGAGGAAAACGGAATTCAACGATTGAAAACTGTTCAAAGTCTCTTCTACCAGAGGCCAGGGAAATCATTTGTAGTAGTAGGGCACAGGGAGCTATGCTCAGGCCATTGCATAAAGCAAAGGAGAAAAAACCTGATGTCATTTCTGCAGCATCAAAAACCACCCCTAAACAGAACTATAACGGGAGCCAAGGTGGATCCAATCCCCAAACTGAGGCAAGGTCAAAAACGTCTTCTCAAACTTCAAATGGGTTGGATAAACCAGAGTTCAAAATCCTACTGGTGGCTGGACTCCCTCAAGGACCACCTCTAGTGGCATCAACTTGGTGGGAAGCTAAGTATATCCAAGGCAACTTGGATAATAGACCTGGGCTCCTCCATAGAATCAGAGACCTCCCTTAACCCAACTCACAGAAAAACAAAACGAGGGTGGAGGATGGGGAGGCCTCGCCCAAACCTGTGGAAAGAGAACCTAAATAAAAGTGACTAATGGAGTCAATTGTGCAGTGGAATTATAGAGCAATCGGAAACAAGAGATATATATTCTGCAGTTCCTTGTCAAGGAACATGATAATCCTTCAGGAGACCTGTATCTGCCCAAGGGCACACTTCAGCTGATAGGGCACATGAAGGAATGGCCATACTAATGAGAGAAAATATGCATTCACATGAGGTGAGACTGAATACAAACATCCGGGTAATCACAGTGATTTATTGTGAAACTTAACCGAGTTGTTCTGTGCCGTGTCAGAAGTTCTGAACCGATCGCAGGCCTTCTCGCACATAATCCAGCTTCTTAGAGTCGTTACCTTTTAGTACGCAAATTTTCAATGGTTCTAACTTGTTGTAGGTCGTTACTTGATTTCAACATTGGTCAAATGTTGATTACAATGTATATTCAAAACAATAAAAATGATCATCTCTCTGAGATGTGACATGATGGTGACCTGATCCACGCCTTCTTGAGTAACCTCTTATCTATAATGTCTAAGAGGTAATTAAAAATTTTAAGGGTGGCCACTTTTTTTTGCGTCAGGGTAGAAGAACAGCTTTTATACCTCTAAAATACTAGTTACACTTAAACTAACTTCATGACCAAGAAGTGGCCAAGAAAAAAAAATGGTTTACCTGTGGTGCATTCTGCCACTAGCAGCAAGTTTATCAGCCCATTCCTGGCTGAATTTGCACATCTAAAAAAAAAAAAATACATTTAGATGATGTATGGGATATTTAAACAAATAGCACTATAAAAAGCAATACTTCTTTGCTGAGTTTTAATGGTGGGGCTTTGTGGATAGCTCGTTTTTCATTGTGGGCATCTAAGCACTCTTGGGCAAAGTTGGCTGTGAACCTGCCAGTGAACTCGACCTTTTTTTTATCCTTGGGTTTAGCCGGTGACTGAGTTTGCTTTACATTATCTGTAATCTACAAGCAATGTTATTAAATTTAAATATTTTTTTAAACAATTATTATTTGGATACCTTTGAATTTGTCTGAATCAGATTCGATGCCAATGGCTTTTTCTGTAGATCATCTAAAATAAAAATTCCATGAGAACCATACACAGATCGAATACTAATATCAATTAAATATTAAACAATTGAACCCTTTGGAATATTGATTTGATGTGCTGCCTCAATGTCACACCAGACCAAATTTGTCAAAACTAGAGGCCATGCAGTCAACCAAGACTAAAATTAATGCAGTTTTTCTTGTAGCCTGTTTACAAAATTACGAATTGCGAGATATTTGACCTCATGAGGGCAGACCACCGCCCGTTTCCGAGGTCTAATTCAAGCCAATTTAGATGATGAGGACATTCAGCGGCGGTAAATGTAGGACAAGTCGTAACAGTTGGATAAAAGGGGATATTTTATATGTATATATACCCAAGAAGTCCGCCGACAATTCCCATCACGGCTTTGTTCGGTAATTAATGTTATAAACAACCAATGGGCTCTGGTAAAATTTTCTCCTTAAAATTGAGAGTATGCCTTATATATTTCGGTAGACACAAAAACGATTGAACGATTCAATGTTTGTATGAATATTTAAAAAAGACATGAATTTAATTATTCTTGGCGTATTAATTAAAATACTGACCCGGAATGTAAATAAACCTACACCGGATGAATGAAAACATCCAACATTTAATTAAACATGAAATATTTTGAATGTCTACTGCAGTTATTTAAAGGTCGGATATGCGCTCGTTAACTCAGTTTTAACTAATAAGATTGTAGGTATAACTGAAAAGAAAACAGTTGTAATTACGTAAGTAATTTTATTTTGGAATAATTATTATAAATTTAAAAAAACACTTAAAAATCTACTTTTAATCTATTGTGAATATCGGAAATTCCAATCCTGTGTTTCCGTTTCTTTTTTTTCTTTCCGGCCGTTCTTTCTTTCAAGAGATTTTCTTTTGAGGATTGCTCTTACAGTTTAGTTATTGTCAAGTCCTTGTCCCAATATTTTGCTATTGTAAACTTCTTTAAGTACCCAGCACTATTTTTCATTGGTTTTTCGATAATGTATTATCATTCCTTGTAGAAGAAACATTTGGCCATATTATCTGAATAATGAAAAATCCGGTACAAAAAATGTACATATATTTAACAAAATATTTTACTAAACAATCAGTTTGACATTCGTTATTCTGGAATTATTTAACGCGCGTCGTCATCTGACATAAAATGGCGAACATCCGTCGCTTAGTGGTTCTGGCACGTGGATTATTGGATATCTGATCATATGTGAAATTCTCAAAACAAATTATAACTGGTGCTACTTTACCGTGATTTTTTTTTCTCACGTTTACCTTTAAAATAGTTTCGAATCAGAAATACCCAAAGTGTAAATAGTGTTTTTGAAAAACTTACCGTCAGATGAACTCAGTGATAATTTATACCATGAAAGGGCTCGAGTCAACTGCCACAGTAAAGCCCGATGCTGCATTTAACAAATTAAATGACGTCGAAGCAAGTCAAAAGCTGCCGATGTTTGCTACCGTACTCAAGAAATCCTAGCACTTACAATCTTTCCTACTTTGTTCCCGGCTTAGTCAATCTATCTCTCCTCCACCTGCTTCCCACTAAGCCATATGGTTTTTCTAAATACGCCGTACTCATCGTCAAATATAATCAATAAATCATGGGTAAGTGCGTAGACCCAAACTATTCGAAAGGTAAAACAATTGATTATAAAACCTTACGTTTACATATGACAACCACTATTGTTCAATTGTAAGCTTTAATATAGTCTGCTGTAGTATGTTAAAATGTAGATATGAAAAAACAAAGTGAATTAAAACTACATAACTATCTTAGACATGTAGACATGACATCTTGTTTTAACTTTGCTTTTTTAACTGTAGAAGTCGACAATTTAAGTTTGCATAATACTTTCCAAATCATGTTAATGATAACACTTTCTTTTCGACGTTTTTATTATTTATGGTTACCAGTGGCCGTGGATGTTAGGGTGTCAGGGTCTCCCATTTGTCACATAGCGGTCGAATGTCCAAGTTTTGCCCTTGAAATTTTCTAATTTTCTACCCCCTTGTTATTTCCAATTACTTTCTGCCCTACTATGATTGCATATTTTTCATCCATAATCAAAAGCTATAAATAAGTTTGAAAATTGTACAATTATGATTACGTGAGATGATACTAAACTATGGTACAGACTTTATAATTTCGTAATTAGCGGAAAGTTACTGGAGATCATTAGGGTTTTGAATGGTAATGATGTTATTAAGTTCGGAGACGGAGAGTCCCTTTCCTCCCAAGGAATTCCGGTATCAGAAGGGGTGTTATAGGGTGAAGTTTTAAGTCCCTTTTTATTTTCTCTGTTCTTGTCCAATATAGCTCAACTTGTCACTAACTCTCGGATTACAATTACATAGAAGTAAAAATTTATTGATGTACGCTGACGACCTTGTGTTACTAACTCCTTTTTGGAATGAAACTCAAAACAAGTTAGATATATTTAATAAATGCTGTTTCTGTTAATAACAACAAATCAGTGCCTATGGTATTCACTAAATCTGAGCACTCTGTTGGGAAAAATGTTTTGTGTTCGGAAGTTATTGTATAGCTTTTGTAAAAAAAATTTAAACAATTTTTTTTTCATCTTTAGCTAAATTCACACAAACGAGTAAATACTTCTTGACGACCCACTCGATCATGGGGTTATTGCATTCGTTTAAAAGTGATAATTAGTATTCAAAATAAATCCTGTACGATCTTGGAAAGTGTACTAATTTATACCTCGGACATTTAGGCACCTAAAAACACTAGTGAAATTGAAAGAGGACAGCTGAATTTTGTTAATCAAATTTTACATCCCCCAAGGAACGAACACTCCCGTCCCATACGTCGGGAATACGTGAGATCAGGACTAGTAGATTAAGATCGACAAATAAAATCGTGAAATTCTACACCCACCTTCGGCCAAATTTAACAGATTCAGCTGATGTAGATTTAGTTGCTGGAGCAGGTCGCTGGACATCGTGGGCGATCCCCTGGTCTCTGAAGTGATCTTTCGCTCGATCTTATTCCCCCGGAAGGTCTGGACCGTCTCCTTCGTCAGTGTCTCGAAGTGCGTCTCCTAAAAATAATTTGCTCCTTTAAATCCGGCTTAAAGAACCTTAAAACCACCGTCCAACTCTTTAATAAGAAGAAAATAAAAATTAATCCACTTTTTAATAAATTTATTGGATGATCTTTGAGTTTTTAACGTTTGATCACTGATCATTGATGATTTCACTACATATTTCGGTTATAAGAGTTCGTTTTTTTTGCATTATTTAGTGGTCTACGTACAAACAAACATATCAGCCTGTTGACCTATCGATTTGAACTTTTAGAAATATACGGCTAAATTTGGCTAAAATATCTAAACCATGTGTAATAAGCAATCAATTATGAAATGTGGATTGCAAAAATGGTAACGTTGCCTTAATATTTATCATACTAAAACCTATTTTATTATATAATAGTAATACTTTCTTCATTTTTGGTTATCATATTTTTGACAGTTCTAGTTGTTTGTAATAATAATGTATCTGGTTTTTTTCTTTGATCTTTTTATTTATTTCATTTTTTAATTAGTATTACTGATTATTTTAATTCGTCGACTAAAGGAGGAAGACTGAAAAGTGCCCCCCCCCTTAAAAAAAAATCTGTTATCTAATAGGAATTTTAAAAAATAAGGAAAAATGGGTTGTCTTATTGTTCTAAACACCAAAAAACTGTAATAAAAAGTGTGTGGTGATTAGTCACCGTTAGTCCATGATTATTCGGAGATCGTGAGATGCGATCTGGTGTGACGTAGGTTTTAGAAAAACATTTTCTTTATCGTGCCAATGTTTCGATCTTTATTGAAATCATCTTCAGGTCCTGGGATTTACAAACATTGTTTCAGTTTAACAAATACATGTAGGATGTGGAAAAAAGTGAATTTATACAATTCAAAAAAATATTTTTTATATTCATTTAAAGTATTTCTACTCACTCGTAGAAATACTTTGATTGAATATAAAAAATATTTTTTTTGCATTGTATAAATTCACATTTTTTCCACATCCTAAATGTATTTGTTAAATTTAAACAACGTTTGTAAATCCCAGGCCCTGAAGATTATCTCAATAAAGATCGAAACGCTGGCACGATAAAGAAAATGTTTTTCTAAAACCTACGTCACACCAGACCGCATCTCACGATCACCGAATAATCATGTAAAAAAAGTTTTATTCGCATCCAAAAGTATTTCTTCTGTAGATATAAACAGTCTGGTGATTTTAATAAAAAGTATTACCTAAAAATATTGAAAATAATTAAAGATTAGTAAAAAAAACACTAAAGAATCAGAATGAATAAATTTTTTTTTACTGGGAGCCAGTATTTTTGAAAAAAGCCCATTAGTGCAGAGGCGCTGGATTCGAACCAGAGACCTTTAGCGTATAGTGATGAGCACAATGTCAACGCCTAAAACTTGCATTGAAATTATTAGTTTCGAATCGTAACTGAAATTAAAAATACGACACATTGCTGTCAAGATTAACGATACTGAAAAGATTGTTTTTAATATCTTAAAATAACAAACAAGATAAGCAACACGTTGAAAAACATGTTCTGTCTTTATTTCTACAAGCGTCCCTAGAGCCCAAGGGTAATCGCTAAAGTAAATCGACCATTCGCACAAGAAAACACATTCTTCACTGTTAAGTAGTTGTTTTGAGTTGTGGGACGTCCAGAAATAGGCAGTGAGGAAAGTTACACGCAAAGTACTAAAGAGGGTTAGTTATACTTCTAAATAACTCTCTATCCAGGTTATAAATTAACGCTAATACAAAATATTGTCTCTGTGACTACTGATTACTGATTTAGATAAGCTCAAATCTGCACGCTCATGCATATACATGCGTGTACAGAGTAGAGATCATCACTTCTCGAATTCATCGGCATGCCTCGACAATCACCCAACCCGAGAGTTAGCACACCTCGGTCTTGTCTGTACTCCAGGGGCTATCAACAGCTAGGTCATTTCAGCCCCCAACGCAATCAATTCTTAGTCCATTCACTCTCTCACTGTTAAATGAATTTTTTCTTATTTTCATAAATTTCTCTGAATTCGGGTATTGGAGTACTCGATGTTCCTCCATCACCGTTTACACCTATTACATATAAAAAGAATTGAACCTCGTAGGCCCTCTCACACCACACATTCATGCCAATAAATACATTCTCTTTCAACACACGCTAGGGGCACAAAACAATCATTACTACTATACAATAAAACCACCCAGTTTCCTCCAAGAATTGGAAGGGGACCCAGAAACTCGCTACGGTGCTCAAGCACGATTCTCATATCGGGTGACATTCTCACACGCTCTCTATAAGGAGCCAAGGAATTGCACCCTTCAATTAGGTGGGACACATGTAGCAACCTTTCTCCACATACCGTACTCAGATGCGGTCCTTATACCGGTCATATCTTCCGAAAGCCACCTATTCTTGATGTATGAGAGTTTCTTTGCCGATCCTGCCCACCGTCGATGCCACATTCTGTTAATCACTTCTTTTTTTTTTTGGGAGGGGGAGGTGAGTTGGTGGCTGGTTTAGGCATTGACACGACGCTCATCATTGTAAGGTAAAGGTCCCGGGTTCGAATCCGTCGGACCTGCATTCGAACCCGTCATACTTTTTTTTCCAAAACACCGGCACCCCGAGGGTTCGTATAACCTCGTAGTTGAATTACCCTCGTAAAAAAATTGTTGCATGTTTAGCGAAAGGGGTTAAGTGCGGAGGTTGCGATCTCGGCTTTAGGCTTCAGCGCCTCATCCGACTTTTGTAATTACACTACTACTTATTACTAGTACTTACTATTCTTAAGAAACAATAAATAAATTTGGTCTATGAAGAATTTTCATACAACTACTTTATTCATTAATTATTATTAAGTAATTCATTATTATCAATTTGATAAAATGTATTTTTAGAAATTGTCATCGTGCTAATCTATATTAATTTAATAGGCTTTGTATGTGAAAAGTTACATAATATTCGTCATTCTGGTTGATAAATTCCTCTTAAAAGAAAATGGAAAATAGTTAATGTCTAAACGTTCATTTTTATTTATATTACTAACATGTATTATATATGTCCTTTTCTATATCTTCAAACTAGACTATGATATGGAAAATTGTTAAGAAGAATAAGTAAGTGTATTATCTGTTCGTGGACGGCAAAAACGGGCAAACTTGAGCGTTTGGATGATATGATTTTAAGTTTCTCTAAGAAAAAGATTCATGTCAACATTTACTCAAAAATAAAATAAAATGTACTAGTTGTCTGTGAATAGGTTAATTGACTTTAATTGACGTCGCATAATCACAATTACTCATTACATTCAGCCAAGCTTTTTTTCATAGCATAGACTTCCGTTCCAGTTGAATTTGTTAATTATACATCATTATTCAATGATTAAATTCACACGTCCTTTGTAATTTGAGGGTGAAAGAAGAATAGTGGACAATGAGCCCAATTGGCGAGGTCCAATTCCTATTAATTATTTAGAGCTAAACAGTTAGCCTGATCATTTTTATTTCAAAAAGGACATGGACTAAAATTTAATTAACAGCATCAATAAAAAATGACCCTTTAATTATAAAAAGTATATGAAATAAATTGTTGACAATTATGCTCATTAGAACGTACTTTAATGCAAACTAATTTTAACTTCAGTTTATACAAATAATTTAAAAAATGTGTGTTTGTTATTTTTCCTAATGGTTATCAGAGTATATTATTTGTTGTAATTTGTAACAGTAATAAGGGATAAAATATATTTAACCAACGTACCTGTCCGATTTTCGATGATGCGAATGTTCTCTGTTCCTTCTTGCGTATCATGACGACCCTTGAGTTTCCACCGGGAGTGAAGTCGTGCGCATGAAGCGATGGCCTGTAACGTGTCAAATCCATTCCGTCGCCGACGTTTATATTTCCACCACCACCACCTCCGGACGGAGACCTTCAACAGAAGAGTTCAGGATGATAACGAATAGTGCAGGCCCGGGCTAAGCACGGGTGCCGAATTTCAGGCAAACACGATATTTGAGCTTGAAAGACGATTGGTTGGAATGAGGATAGGATTTATCAGACCTTGGGGTTAGCAGGGTGGTTTTAAGAGATAATGTTTAATGGCAGGTCATTAAGAACACATATTTTATAAGTACTAAAGTGGCCATATCAAACTGAAATGGAATCCTTAATATAGTTTTTCTATGATCATTAAAATTCATAAAATTTGTACACAATAACGATGATACGCATAATTTGCATATTTTAACAAAATAAAGTCCAAGCATATTTGCTATGTAACTTGCATTGAGATAAGTAAAATTATGAAACAATAGCTTGATCGTTTCTGATTATCGTGATCTGTCCAGTCTCGTTGGTTTTGTCAGACGCGTTCTTGGAATTTCGCCATTTAGTATTTAACCTACATGTTATTTTGTTAATCATATCTTTTTATCATGGATATGCTTTTGGGCTGGATACAGAAATTTTGTATTAACATTTTCGCGTCATCGACTTTATGTCTGTTGAGGTAAAGCAGACGCGAAAGGGTGCACTTGGATAGGGTTAGGGAAAGCATGGGGTTTGGAAAGGGCTATGCTACATATCAACATTCAATGTTTTTCCATGAAAAATATGCGCGGCTTTTTAAGTTCATTCAAACAAACCATGAAGATGGATATATATGGCGCATCAATATAGGAGACCAAAAAAAATTAATGAAAAACCATTTGGATTTGTTTTAGGCATCCTTTACCACCCTTAAAGACCGAAAAATAAACATTTTTGGCTGGATTCGGGGGCAATTATTTCGTCAATATACGATGCTCCCTCCGTTTAAAATTGCTTCGCCCCCTCCTGAATTTTATCTAAATTACAAACGCATAGGTATTTTTGTAGTATAATCTAACAACCCATTCAAGAAGTGAACAAAGGCGGGTCGACAAAGTACTTCCTCGCTATGTATATTATATTAATATCGATATGCATATTAAAAGAGTAAAGTGGCATTATTACATAGATTTTGTTTCTCCGGTGTTAATTCAATTACGTCATATTCGGGGTTCCTTCTACTGAAAAGTCCCATTTAGAAGTATTTCGGATTTGAATTTAGAGCCGTTGAGAGACGAACCCAGGTCCGTCCAAAAATTACCCATTTTTTGTGCAGTATAATTACAAATATTTTCACAATTTTTCTCCTCAACCCAGTTTACTTATTGTATTGCAGGCAGCCCTTATTAAACAGGGCCTCAAGGGTGCCTATAGCAACAACTTTAGATATATAAATTTAAATATTTTCCCTGTGTTGTAGACAATTCGTACCAAATGTATAATTTTTTCTTTATTATGTACCCTATTAAAGTTGATGAAAAAAATGAAAAATTGGTAGTTTTGAAAAGGTAATCAGACGGCAAACAGAGCCCAGGGTGCTCGCAGAAAATTTAAAAACAAAAAATTTCTTCTTCGTTTAACTGTTAAGATGGTAACTTTAAATATGACGTTTGTAAGTTCAGATATTGAGAAAATATTGTAGTTATTTATTTATTGGTTATCAATTAATAGTTGGTATTATGGTAATTAAATTAGTAATTGGTAGTTATCAGTTAATAAATTTCAACAATTGACGTCACAATGCCGCCGGTATGGGGTCTCCCTTAGGTACGGCGGGGAGGTGGATGGGAAAGAAAAAAAAATTGACGTCACAAATTAAAAATTAATAAATTGTTAAAAGACGTAATTTTTCTAATTTTAGAGTAAGTACTCATTGGAAAGTGAAAACACTTAATCAAAATTAAATTCTTTAAATTGATACTTGAGATTAAGGTGGGTTTATCAATGCAAGTACAAATCCATTTATGTTTAGTAGTTGTAATTGACCGTATCAATTATTCTAATTAATTATACTTTTTATCTAAGGCCTTGGTTGAGATGAAAAAGTTAGTGTCACGAGCGAGATTCGAACCCTTAGAACAGGCCTTCGGCTGAATTACACCTCTGCGTTAACCACTGGTGCTTGGAAGTCACGATGAGTGAACCAACTCTTTTATCTCAACGAAGACCTTACATAAAATGTATAATTAATTAGAGCAAGTACAAATGTTTAATTTTTACTTACTTATATGTATTATTACTTACATTTTGACCAACTTTAAACAAGCTAAATTATGCATATTAATGCACTGAGCAACGGTTTTAAAGTGAAGTAAGTGATGTAACGACATTTGGTCATGGAAAAACAATTAGCAACACCTCATTAATAATAAAAAATTTAACTAGTTATTTTTCTCTTGAGCAACACTTGTTAAACAAACATTAATTTACTGAAAAGAATGTCGTTCCGCGTAGAAATGCCGCCCCATATAAGAAATATGTTCGAGCACGGCAGCTAATCTTTGTGTTCAGATTTTTGGAGAAAACAGAGTTTTTGTATTATGTACTGGCAGTTTCGTGTACCTAATGCCTGCCGATAGTGAATGTATTTATTAGCGTGAATGTGTAGTTTAAGAGGGCTGACGCGGAATATTCAGTGCCCCACCTACCCTCAATTAGGTTTGTTATATTTGTAATAGGTGTAAAGGGGATAGAGGATTATCGAGTATTCCACCACCCTAATTGAGTGAAATAGGAAAAAATATATTTAGGAATGAGGCTGTTGACAGCACCCGGCACCCAAACTCGGTGGTTGGTCGGACAACCGAGGTCTGACCCAGGACACCCGGGTTTGTGATGCTCGAGGCCTACCTGTAATTTATTATAAATTACAAAGGCTAGGATTGCCGGTGGACTGCTCGAAATATTACTCAACTTTTTACATGTATGTATTATGTACATACATGGGCATATTTGAGCTTACAATAATGTGAGATGCTTAGGGGATGAATAGCTAAGGTCATCGCCGGCCCCCTGCGTGATTTTACTTCTCTTTCCGGTCTTTTTTTAGCCATTTAAGCGAATTTTTCAGCTTGCAGTCATTTGAGCATCTTATCTATTACTGACTCTGTTCTTTTATATTAATACTTCGATATCCTGAAATGCTCTCCTCTCATTTTACTCAGGTTGTCAACTGCGGAATGAAACGTACAATATATTTGTACATACATCACCACAATCATAGAGGTCTGGTCACATTCACTCCCCCAGAATACTCGATATTTCTCGTAACGGGGTTAACCAACTCCATTCTCGCAAATAACCTTACTTTTTGCCCTCCAGACGTCACACACTCACGCCAGAGTACTCGATAATCTTTGAGGACGGGCTTAATAACCCCTTCCTTTCACGCTAATATACAGTGTATGTATGTGTACATTCGTAATAATTTGGGCTTATATAAATCTAAATACAAATTAATTTAATGAATTAATATTTATTGGCGGTTGTAGTGAAGAAAATATTTTGGAAAACAATTAATTCCATATAAAATTTTATTTAAAAATACATTATATTGAAAATATCGTATTAATTTTTATCTTATTATTTATTACTAAAAACACAATTTAATGAATTCATATTTCACCGGTGTACAATACATACTGTATATTGTATTCATTTTACTGAATTGTAAAAAATAGCTGTACATCTATAATTTTTTTTTCTTCGATTTACTCTGGAGGATGATATTAAAAAAGGGACCTCCATTTGAACTTTAATCCAAGTATTGTTAAAACGTAATATCCTTATGTCATGTAAATTTTCGTCAACTCTGTATTAAATAAATAATCAGAGAGAGATACTTCTTTGTCAAGGATATCCACCTCATTACGCTGAAGAACATCAGGGCAAACAAAATGACAGGTTTCCACCCCAATTCGATTAGACTGTTATATAATCAAGATTCCACATGCTTTTGGCTTCCAAAACTTGGCCGTGCTTGAATGAGCACTGAGCGATGATTTCTTTACTACTTTGTGACATCATAGCCAGGGTAGAAATATGCCGACCTAAATTGGATTGTTGGAAACAAAATGCTAAGTGATTTTTATTTGTTTGTATTTTACATCTGCAGAAATGTTTTGATAAATAAGACTCAAAGTATTTTCATGAAATAATATTAGTTTTTTTAATTCAGTATTGAACGAGATGTTTGGTCAAAATGGACTAAAAATGAGATGAACCTAACATCAATCACTTTTAATATTCATTCTCTAAAGCAGTACAATTCGAAATGCAACGTGTATTCCTTATCTCATACTAACAAAGGGGTTTCTCACGGATTTGGACCGAACTTTTTTTGGTGGTTCTACACTCCAAAATATCGGAATCAATCCGCCACTTCTTGTGAATAGGCCCTGGTGTCGCAAAAAAAAAAAATTAAAATCGTTATTCAGTGATTAAAGAAATATTGTTTTTGGTGTATTAATCACATCAAATAAAATTCGCAGAATATTCTATTTTGGTATGATTTAAAAATTTAAAGATTAATTAACAAAATACTGCTTTTCTATTGGGTTGTCCGGAAAATAATGCAGGATTTTGGTATTAAACAAAAAAAAAGAAACTAGTTACTTTAAAGCAATGTTCTTTAATCAAAATAATTTCCCATACTCTCAATACATTTCTCCCAACGTGTTGGTAACTTATTAATTCCGTCTGAGTAGAATTCAGAATTTTTAGAATTGATAAAGTCAATAAATGCATTTTCCAGTTCCGTTTGATTTTTGAATATTATGTGTTGTAAGTAGTGGTCCAGGTGTCTAAAAAAATGGTAGTCAGTAGGCGAGAGGTCCGGAGAGTAGGGTGGGTGAGGCAAAGTTTCATAGCCAAGCTCCAATAATTTTTGTGACGTTACACGTGACACATGTGGTCGAGCGTTGTCATGCAACAAAATGGGCCCTTTCCGATTGACCAAAGAGGGCTTCATTACTGCCAATTTCTGATGCATGGTATTAATTTGGTTACAGTATGATTCAGCATTGATGGTTTCGCCAGGATTTAAGAAGCTGTAGTGTATTA